TTCTTGCCTGGGAAGTCCTATGGACAGAGGAGCCTGGTGGGCTACAGTCCACGGGGTCACGAAAGAGTCAGACACGACTGAGTGACTGAACAGCAACAACAAGAAAACCAGTTGTTTTGTTGAAAGTTTTGTTTCAGGTTCAAAAGATTCACTAACAAAAGAAACCACTCGTTACACACAAATAAACGATTTCAATCTTTTTATAGATATTTGGTTTAATCTCAATATACGGTCATTAAAAGAAAAGAAATAGAAACAATAGAAAGAAGAAACAGCGCAGCACACACATCACCAAATTGGGCCAAAAACGTACATCCAGACTTGAACGGCGCTGGGAATTCCCTCGTTAAATGCAACTTGGAGTCCCAGCCGGGAAAAGGTCCTGGGCAGTGTGTCTATCCTGTGGATGAGACTTCAAATCCCAGTTTGAGGGGGCTCCCACTTACAATCCCACTCAGTAAACGGATATCATCAGTTTGCCTGCAAAAATGCAGCTCTGGTTTTACTTTAACTTTTTTACATTATGGTTTGTTTCACCTTGTGAGTCATAGGATTTCATTAGACCCTGGGGGCCTGGCCAGACCCTCAGGGCCTCAAGAGATCCCAGGACCCAGTCCCTTTCTTACCTAAGGGCCACGTGATTGGCTGTGGGCGCGTGCAGGCACAGCATCTGGGCAGTATCCAGGTGGGTCAGGAGCAGACCAGAAGCCTGGTCTCCTACTTCTGAAGCCTGAACAAGACTTTCCTCCACTTTAATTCCCCTAATACCAGTGCTTAAGAATCTGCCTGCCAATGCAAGGGACATGGGTTCAATCCCTGATTTGGGAAGATCCCACATGCCGCAGGGCAACTAAGTCCATGTGCTTCAACTACTGAAGCCCATGTGCCTAATTTTTGTGTTAGCCACTCAGTCGTGTCCAACTCTTTGTGACCCCATTGACTGTAGCCCACCAGGCTCCTCTCTCCATGGAATTCTCCAAGCAAGAATACTGGAGTGGGTTGCCATTCCCTCCTCTAGGGGATCTTCCCAACCCAGGTATAGAACCCTGGTCTCCAGCGCTGCATGTGAATTCCTTACCATGTGCCTAGAGCCCACAATAAAGAGTAGCCCCCACTCGCAGCAACTAGAGAAAGTTTGTGCACGGAAATGAAGACACGGCACAGGCAAAAATAAATAAAGTAAAAAGAGGGCTTCCCAGGTGGCACTTTAGGGGTAAAGAATCCACCTGCCAATGCAGGAGACCCAAGAGACATAGGTTTTTCTACCTGGAGAGGGAAGATCCCCTCAGGGAGGAAAGGGCACCCCACTCCAGTATTCTTGCCTGGAAGATTTCAAGGAGCCTGGGGGGCTACAGTCCATGAGGCCTCAAAGTGTCGGACACAACTGAGCACACACATGAAATAAAAAGAAATGAAGCACTGTCACAGGCTATAACATGCACGAACCTTGAAGATGTCACACTCAGTTAAAGAAACCAGGCACAAAAGGTCCCACAGTGTGTGGTTCCGCTTACATGAAATGTCCATAATAGTCAAATCCAGACAGACAGAAGTCAACTAGTGGTTGCCAGAAGCTCGAGAAAGAGTTGGGGGGTGGGGGGTGACTGCTGATGAGTACCAGGTTTCTACAAAGGTGATGAAAATATTCTAAAATTAGCTAACGGTAGGGGTTGCACAACAGTATAAATATGCTGAAAACCACTGAACTGTTCACGTTTTAAAATACGGGTATATCTGTCTGTCTGACTCAGCTCTAAGTTGCAGTAAGAGGGATCTTTGCTGCGTCACGTGGAGTGTTTCGTGCTGGACTGCAGGCTCTCTAGTGGTGGCAGGAAGGCTTAGTCGCCTCCCGGCATGTGGGATCTTGCTTCTCCGACCAGGATTCCAATCAGCGCTCCCTGCATTGCAAGGCAGGCTCAACCGCTGCACCACAAGCGACGTCACTGAACTGTACACTTTAGGAGGGTGAGTTGCAGGGAACATGAATTATACCTCAATTCTTTTCCAAGATGGCCTCAGGCTTCCACTCACCCTCTGCAGGGGCTCAGGGAAGGTAAAGCCAGGTTCTGACCTGGCTCCTCCCAATTCGCCCCCTCCCCTCACCGACCACCCCCTGCCTTCCCAGTTCTGCCCCAGCACCCTGCGCCCTCCTCTGTGCTTCTGCTCTTGCCGGGGGGCCCTCACACCCCCTAAACCCCTCTACCTGGCCCCTCACGCCTGCACACTGGGGGCCTGCTCCAAAGCCGCCTTCTCAACGTGTAGAGACCCCCACCTCCACACTCCCCACCCCAACCACACTGCCCCCGCTGCTCCCCGGCCCCATGCTCTGACTTCTGGCTTAACTGCACTTTCTTCTCTGTGGGCCGCGCCGGAGCAGCGGACCCTGTGGGGCCCTGTTGGCGGGGTCAGATGTCGATCTTCCAGGCGCCCAACCTTTTCCGGGTTCGGTTTCCGTGGGTTTTCCCTAAACAGCCCCGGGAAACGGGAACGTGCCCGCTTTGCGGACAGGAGAACCAAAGCTCAGAGAAGTTAACCTGGCCTAAGTTGCAGAGCGTGGACAACCACCGCCCCCCGCCCATCCAGCCATCCAGCGTCAGTGCTTTCTCCTCCACCCCTCTCCCTCCGGGAACATTAGAAGCTATTGAACAGAAAAAGACGTTGCTGACCTCCCGGGCGGGACAGGGGTGAAAGTACTCCATAAGAGCCTCAGCAGGAAGGACGGGCTGATAAGGGGCTGCTTTTGTATAAGGGTTAAGAGCGGACTCTTCCTGGCTCTGCCGCTCTGGGACTGGCTGTGTGACCTCAGGAAGTGACTTGCAGTTAACTTCCCTGGGCCTCCATTTCCTGCTTTCTGCCAGTGGTCAGTAACACAGGTGCCCACCTCATGGGGCTGGAGGAGTTGGCACACAGGCTAACAGTGTATCAGGGGGTTGTGGCTGGAGGTGAAGCTTTGCTTCCAAGAAGCGTTTTGTCCTTACTCTCTACCCGCCTTCTGCTGTCTGTAGTCTGATCTCAGGAGTGACTTCTCAGCAAATGAGGATGTAGTAGCCAGAAACTGAAGACTGGTGTCAGTCAGAGCATCTTCCAGAGTAGCAAGTGGGCTGTTTAGGGCTGCCGTACAAATGACTGTATCTCAGTGGCAACTGAGATAAAGCAACAGAATCTGATGCTCTTACGTTTCTTGGGCCGGCAGTCAGACCCAGGTGTCGGTAGGCCATGCTCCCTCTGAGAGCTCTAGGGGAGGTCCTTCCTCCCTCTTCTGGTCCCCTCTTGGGGGACTCCAGGCATTCCTTGGCTTGTGGCCGCACCCTCCAGTCTCTGCCTCCAGTCTGGCACATAGTCTTGTCAGTGGATTTAGGACCCACTTGAATAATCTAGGATGACCCCCTCATCTCAAGATCCTCAGCTTACTCACATCTACGAAGACTCTTTTCCAAGTAAGTTCCCATTCACAGCTCCAGAGATTTGACAGGCGTGTACCCTTAGGGGCCCCTCATTCAACTCCATTACAGGGTGGGATAGAGGCGCAACTCTACTCTGGCCTGAGTGGGTGTCTCCATTACAGCATAGCCCAACCAGCAAGTGTTCAGAGCAGGCCGTGTCTCGTGGGTGGTGTTTCAGGGTGTGGCTGGCGGCAGCGTGGGGTTTTCTGTGCCCTCCCTGGCCTTTCTGCTGAGGGATGGCGTCTGCCTCTGCGGAAGGGCCTTTCGGGTCCCCAGCACCTGGGTCAGCACCAAGGAGGCCCGTCAGCCAGTGTGGGGTTACCTGCTTTCTAAACAGCTCCCCAGACCGCGGGTTACCACTCTGCCCCTTTCCCCCACCAGACCTGCAGGCAGCGATGGAGATCATCTGTGATAACGTGGGGAAGGACTGGAAGAGGCTGGCTCGTCACCTCAGCGTGTCTGACATCAAGATCGAAGCCATCGAGGAGAAGTACCCCCGAAACCTGGCGGAGCAGGTGAGGGAGCTGCTGAGGGTCTGGAAGAGCAGCGCGAGGCAGGACGCGGCTGTGTCCCGCCTGGTGGGCGCGCTCCGGGGCTGCCAGCTGAACGTGGTGGCGGACCTCATCGAGGAGGACCAGCGGGCCCAGGCCCGCCAGAGCGGGAGCACCGACCCCGGGCCCCTCATGGCCTGGGACTCGGGCTCCGCCACCCCAGGAGCCTCCTGACGACCCAGCAGCTCTTTCGCAGGGACCAAGGGCGGCTGCACAGTCCTGACCACATCGCGTCCGTGCCAGCCCCGTGAAGACTCAGGGAGGCGGCTGTGGGCCCGCGCTTCTCTGTGCCAGGTGGGCAGGGGGCACCATGGTCGCCCCAGGAGGGCGACACTGTCGTCCCCATTTAACAAGTTCCTCCGGAGGGCGTGTGGCACCGCACCCAGTACTAAGGAGGGGTCTGTGATACCCGGTGCTGTCACTGGTGCTCCTGGACACGAGAGGACGTGCAGCATCGAGGAGCTGGGGGCTGGGCTGGCGTCCAGTGCTGCCCAGCTCCAGAGCCCATGCTTGGAAGCCCTGGCTCGTTCTCCCGCCCCTGCGCTTGCCCAAGGCTTGGAGGCTGGTGGTGCCGACCGTCTCCAGGGCGGGTGGCATAGGGGTGAGGCGCGCCCTCACAGGGCTGGGAGGCGGCCCAGACTCTCAGGGCTTGGGGGAGCCAGCCTCCTGCCGTGGGGCCAGGCAGCGAGCACTCGGCACGTGCTGGTTCTCAGGCGTATCGTGACTCCAGTTCCACGGTGCATCGCTGAAAACCACTTTTTCTGATAACAAAACTGGCAAGGGAGCTGAATCCTGTGATTCTAAGAAGCAACTTTTCTTCCTGCTTCTAAGGTAATCCTATTGAAGCAAGTGCCTTTCCAGAGGAACCCTCCACAAAAGGAGGTTTCAGCAGACAGAGAGGACAAAGAATTTCCTCTTCCCACTGAGGGTGATTTTCTTTTACGTATTCTCGGAAGTTCCACAGTAGCCAGTTTCAGTGTCCCTTGAAGGTCATCACAGGCCCAGCCTGTGAGGAGGGGGCCTGCGTTTTCTACCAGCTCCAGGGACCATGCCAAAGTGGGTGTTTACCCCGGGGAGCCGTGATCTGCCAGAGGGCAGTGCTCACCTGCTGTGGGTACTCACTGCCTCCCTGTAGGAGGCATCCGAGAGCCCAGCCTCGTGCCTTCTAGCTGTGACCTTGGGAAAGCTCCCGACATCATGCCATGCCACCTTGACCTTGGGTTGCCAAGACCCTAGCAGCACTCCCCGCCCGGCTGTGGGCCCAGCCTCCAGCAGATACTGACGGCGTCAGGCAGTGCTCGCTGAGCCCAGGCAGCAGACAAGACAGAAGCGGCCCTTCTCAGTTGACTCCGAAGCCTGGCTGGGAACACGGGTGTTAACCATGCATCACAAGTGTGGGAGCTGAGCCCATTCAGTCCCAGAGCCATGTGGTCCGGCCCAGGGTGATGTGCTGAAGAGGCTTTGGGTCAGGGCGAGTCTGTGTTTAGTAGTAACATAATCACCACCAATAAAGGTGGGGCTTGGCCGATGGGTTGCCTTGGGAAATGGGTGGTCTGGGAAGTGTGTCCACGTGTCTTGACCAGAGGCAGACTATGAGATGGTGCCCATCCCTCGTGATTTACGGCAGACACTGCTGCCAACAGGTAAGGATGCTGAGACCTGGCCTGCGTCCGTGCAGTTCTCACCCTGAGGAGAGACTGCCCCTCCGTCACTCCAGGTGTTCTCACGGACATTGGGACCACACGTGCTTACAGCACCCAGCGCTTTCCATTGCCTGGGCCTGGCGCTGCCACAGGCCTACTCCCGTGCTGCATCCTCGGGGCTGAAGCATTGTCCCCCAGACACTGACATCTGGGACTGCCCGGCACAGTGAGGCAGTTGGAACAGCCCCAGTAGACCTGTCCTGTGACCTAATCATACCACCCGAGGCACAGATCTGAGGTCGGAGCAGGGAAGCGCCTCCTACAGGCACCGCTGTCGGCCTCCCCAGGGTCTGGAGGTGGCCTGCCCTGGTACCTGTGGGCCACTGGGGCAAAACCACAGAGCCTGGTGGCAGGTGAACCTGCACAAGGCTCTGCCCCCAGATGGTGGGGCTCCAGGCCGGTGGAAGCATCCGTGTGTTCCACTAGCAGTCAGAAGGCTTCCGCCGTAGCTGGCCTCCAGGCGCTGAGATGATGGCGCAGGCTGGCGGCACTGAACTTCCCCAGCATGGCGACACGNAAACCACAGAGCCTGGTGGCAGGTGAACCTGCACAAGGCTCTGCCCCCAGATGGTGGGGCTCCAGGCCGGTGGAAGCATCCGTGTGTTCCACTAGCAGTCAGAAGGCTTCCGCCGTAGCTGGCCTCCAGGCGCTGAGATGATGGCGCAGGCTGGCGGCACTGAACTTCCCCAGCATGGCGACACGAAAGGACAGTGCAAGTGTACAGAGAAAGCAGCGGGGCCTGTGTGGGCCCCAGGGGTGGACGGTACACAGTGTCAGAGGGCAGCTTTCTGGACAGTGTGGGCCCCGGGGGTGGACGGTACATAGCGTCAGAGGGCAGCTTTCTGGACAGTGCGGGCCCCGGGTGTGGAAGGTACATAGCATCGGAGGGCAGCTTTCTGGACAGAGCGGACCCCGGGGGTGGAAGGTACATAGCGTCAGAGGGCAGCTTTCTGGACAGAGCGGGCCCCGGGGGTGGAAGGTACATAGCGTCAGAGGGCAGCTTTCTGGACAGTGCAGGCCCCGGGGGTGGAAGGCACAGAGCCAGCATCAGGGCAGCTCTGGACAGTGGTCTTCGTGTGTGCTGTCCATGTCCCCGCTTCTGTGCTGTGGCTTTCGGGTGTCTGCCAGATGCGGCCCTGGGTGTCACAGGGACTGGTGGGGCGCTCCCCTCGTGGCTCCACCACTCTCCGAAGAGGCCGTTAGGTAAATGGCAAGTGCTTGTCTGCGTCTGCAGTGCTGGTCTTAACTTGAAGACAAACTGATGTCTCCCAGCGCCCAGAGGGCCGTCAGACACTGTTCTGCTCTGCGCGGTCTGACGCTTGACTTTGCTGTGCATAGAGGGCCCTTAGTTCCCCAGCCAGGGATCGAATCCGTGTCCCCTGCGGTGGAAGCACAGCCCTAGCCACTGGACTGCCAGGGGAGTCCCGTCCTGGGTCTTCTCCCCTCCTAAAACAGACATGTTTGATCAGAACCGGGACCTGGGGGCCAGTCAGCGACACCCCACCCGACAGAGCTACTGCAGTTTCAGCAAAGATTTCTGGCAGCTTTACGAGAAATCAGCCTTCTGTCATGTGAAGTTTTTCTGACAAATGCACACAAGTGTGCACACAGGCAAACAATTGACTTGAAAGCAAAAGAGGCACTTTTGCTCTCAGTCCTCCCCTGCGGAGGGAAAGGGTCCAAGTGTGTGTGCTCTGCCGAAGGTTGCCGGCAATGAAGGGGTGTTGAACAAGTGTCTCCTGAGATGAAGGGTCACCCTGTCTCCCAGCCCCGCAGGTTTCCGTGCTTCCCAGCCCCCCAGGCATCGTCTCCCCTCCTCACCATGCTGCCCCCAGCCCTGCTTCTGGGTGCACACAGCTGTGGGTCCCTGCGTCCTGACGCCCTCCAGACTCTTCCCTTGGGGAGTAGGGGGTTGACAGTCCCTCCTCCATCTTATTCTCCCCCCTGGTTCCCACCTGCTCCCCTTCCTCCTTGACACCCCACAGTCATCCCGAAACCACACTGCAGAGTGGGGGCCCCCCGGCCCCACCCTCTCCCCGTCCCTTTCTCAGGGTCCCGGGGCTGACCCTGCTGTGCGAGGGGCCAGGTCACAGGTTCCTGGGATTACTTCGTGGGCACCACAGGGCCAGCCCGCCCACCACAAACAGACTCGGCGCCCCACCTGAGAGGCGTGTGCCCGTTTCTGCGCCTGGCACCACAGTGCAGTGGGCCGCCCTCGGGCCCCACCCAGGCCCCCTCTCTGGGGCGCGCTCTCCTGTTGAACAGCAGCGGCTCCCTGGACAGCGCCTCCCTCCTCCCCCGGCACAGCCTCGCCCCTCTCAGGACAGCCCCGGCTCTGTGTCTTAGAGACCGCAGGCTCTCCACACATTTCTCAGTTATATATTTTCATTTCCATGATAACTACTCTGAGTCATCTTGCTGGCAGCTCCTAGCCACAGGATTTCTGTGTGCATTGCATTTGGGAACCAAGACAGGCAAGCCTGACGCAGGGTTGCACGTGCTTAGCGAAAGTGACCAGTCACCCACCATCTGCTGAAAGGCAAACCTCTTTTACGAGAACTTGCAATTGAAAACCATTTGCATCACACAAGCCCTCAGCTCCCTAAGTCAGTGACAGTTAAAGACTGTGGCAGGAGTCCCACGTGGGTGCCAACCACTTTCGTTGTCATGGGGGGAGCGGCGGGGTGGTTGTTTTGGGGGGGTTGCCCATCAAGTGAAGGCCGACACGGAAAAGCGTGGGCCGTTTGGTCTCCCAGGCAGGGCCATGCTCCCCATCCCACACCTGCCTGGTGACAGTCTAGACACAGATGATTTTGTTTCAGCACGTGTTGTTCCATGGGACAGAAGTTCTGTCTGGGGAGATGACAGAGTTCTCGACAGATGGGGTGATGTGGACGACACTGGGTGAAAAGGGTGAATATTCTATTGTGTGTGACTGTACTACAGTTCTAAAAATCCTATTTCACATTAACCATTTAGTTACATTATTAATCTAAATTGGTTTTCAAGCTTCTCTCTAATTTGAATTTTGTAGTCCTTTTATAAGTTACGAGGGCTAGAAGCATAAGTTTGTATCTGGCTTATTTGTGCATCAAAGCAACAACATTATAAATAAAAACATGCCCACCTCTGGGAGTCTGGGTCCCCATCACGCCTTCCAGGGGGGTTTCTGGCTGGAGAAACCCCTCTGCAGGGCCCCCAGGTCCTGGGTCCTGGTCCCAGCTTTGTGAGGAACAGAAGGGGCACCCAGCCCCAGGCAGCAGCTTCTTTAAACGCCCACCCCGGTGCCAGGGGGGCCTGAGACCCGCTCTGACACCCAGTGTGATGTGCCCTCGCCCAATGCCCCCGACCCGCAGTGGACCGCTGCTGCTGCGGCGTTGTCCTTCCCACTGGGCGCGCTTCCCCTTCCCTGCGGCCTCCAGAGCTGCCGAGGCTCACTGCGTGCTCGCTGAGCAGGGGAGTCCGTCGGCTGTGATGATAAAAGGCCAGGCCCAGCTGCCCAGTGCGGGGGGCCTCTCCGCCCGTCGGGTCCTGCGGTGATGGAGACCCAGCAGGCACCCCTTGGACCGCCTGGCCCCAACAAAGTCCAGCCAGGGACCCCAGGGAGGCCCCCTGGGGCCGCCGGCCGCCCCAAGGGTCCCCTCCCCAGGCAGGGTTGAAGGCCCGTGCAGAAGAGCGCGCACGTCTTGGGTCTGAGTGCTCTGAAATGTGTGGTCTGCTCACACATCCACCCACACACCCAAGACTTCACTCGGTCGGTTCTGAGCAAAGGGCTGACAGCTCAGATGGGGTGGGGGTGGTGCCCACTCCCTCCCCTTGAGCTGGCGACCCCCCAGTGGAGCCCCAGCTCCCTGTCTCCCTGACGGCAACGCCCTCCCCCCCCCCC